GTTCCCCCTTTACGGTGATGACGGTACAAAAGACGCCACATAGGCGAATTAGAAAAACTTGCCGGGGAAAAGGGGAAGGAAAGGATTCGTAGATGGGTAAATTAAATTAAAAGAGCATAGGGACTGCGTTACTGTAATGAACAAGAGTAAACGGAAATACCATAAAATCTATACAATGCATTTGTTCTCACTTATAGTTGAAAAAATGATATTGATTTCGCTTCTTAATTTTTTTGTGTATTGGCGAAATGCATGCTTGATTGTTTAAAAAATGATTTGAAAAAACGCACTTCTTTGTCCGTTGTTTCATGATTTTTAATTTTCTATTAAATAAAGTATTCACTAGTTGCTGTATTGCTATGCAATATAGGGGCTGGGGAGAGGGAGGCGGGAAAAAAGTGGGGATAAAATTGCGGCGAAAAGATACGGATGCAGCTGCGAAGGATGAGAGGCTGCGGGTGCGGCGGGGTGGGAATGGGGGGACAGTCGAGGAAAGGGGGTGGCAGCTAACAGAGCGGACCAGAACTGGTCCTAGCGACAGCTGAAAGGCGGAGCGGATGCGCTACAGCGGGAGAGGGTGGGCAGTCCATGCAGGTAACGAGCAGCGTCTTATACAGGTAACGGGCAACATCTTATCCAGGTAGCTAACCAATCAGGAATGTGTAAATGCGACCCACTACCAGGTACAGGTGAGGGCATGTTACCTGTAATCTGATGTTTTTGTGTCGCTGAATGGCGATGAAGAAAAGAAGCGTTTGAAGGAACTGTGCAGAGAAATTGAAAGCGGCAGAAATCAGATTGGAGAAGCGGTGGAAGTTCTTAAAAAGGTGAATGATAAATGTTTGTCTTACATTCAGAATCTGAAAGGAGAAAGGGTCGGCAAAGAAGTGGAGTGGTATCGTCAAATTGTGAGTGCAGATAATAGTTGTGCAGATAATGGATAATGGCCGTGCTCGAGCTACCCTTTTGGATTCACAATTGGCAGAACTGAAGAAAGTTTTGGAGCAAGACTGCGAACACGATCGAGACGCAAGCACAGAAACAGCAGAAGGAAAAGGAGCAGCAAGGCAGTTGATCAAGCTGCCGAAGATTGAACTCATAGAGTTTGCAGGTGACCCTTTACGGTGGCCTAAATTTTGGGAAAGTTTCAGTCAGTAGCAGCGAATCACAAACCGAATTATCTTTTGCGGTGTCTTAAAGGAAAGGCTGAAAGGGCGGTAGCAGGATACGCTTTAACAGCGGAAAACTATGCGGTAGTGGTGGACGTGCTGGAAAGAAGATTCGACAATATAGAATGGATACGTCAGGAATTATTTAACGAATTGATGCAGCTGAACCTTCAGATGGGAAAAATCTGAGAGAACTGGTTGAAGGAGTGGAGAGAATTCTGAGGCAGTTGAGAAATATGGGTGAAGACGTCAATCATCCGTAGGTTGAGATGACGGTAATGAGCAAACTTCCTAGATGACTACGACTGGAAATCATAAAAGGAATAAGAACCAGAAAGGGAGTGGAACGTGGAAAAATTGAGGTCAACTCGAGCGAATAGTTAAACAGCGAGGAGAGGAGAATCAGTGGTGGCATGTCCGGAACTCAGTGAAAACAGATTCTCCAAAACACAAAACAAGAACTATCAGGTCAAGCTAGTACAGAAGTCAGGCAGATTTGAAAAGGAATCATACTCCACATTCACTGCAGTAAAGCGACATTCGAAAACTGGAATAGTAGCATCAAGGACGCGACCCTGCGTATTTTGCGGCACCGAACACGGGAACAGTGAATGTGATCAATATCAGTCAGCACAGGAACGACTAAGGGGCGAGAGAGTTACATCTGTGTTTTGGATGTTTCACAAAGGGACATCGGGCTTCTCAGTGCCAAAGCAATGTGTACTGTTTTTACTGTCAACGGAAACATAATTCAGCATTCTGCTGGAGGCGAAACGGTAAGAATGTGCTGACTGTTATGAGGAGATGTCAGAAGACGAAACCGGAACGACTGAGTGAGAAAGAGCCTAACAGTGGTAATGAAAATGGGAATTTAGTGACGGTTACGTCAGTATCAACAAGAAATCAGCGAAGGACTGAAATGGAGCAGGAATCGAGCGGAAAGAAAAAAAAAAATTGGCCAATGCACGGGCTGCCCGTGCGAAGATGCGTTTTTTGCATGGTTCCCCGTA